GGCCGATCAATTAGGCCAGTGCGTTAATTATTTAGGCCCCAAAACTGGATCCATAAATGTAATTTCCTTTTGTAGAAAGGTATTAGCCAATCATTAATTAGAATTCAGCACACGACAGTTTGAGGAACCTATAAAACTGAGAATCCCACCCAGGTGTCAGATTTATTGGATTTTCAAAACTATTTTCTGAGACAGCATTTAAAATTAAAAAATTAAAAATACACGTTGTTGACTTTTATTGTATATCTTTTTCTACTAATATAAAAGTAGCAAAGTGCTTTTAATTCCAAAAACATTTGGTTTATTGACTTAAATAACAGTGAAAACACGCCAGAAGCGCGTAGTTTTGAAATTTCTTTCAAACAGATAATGCATTCTTTTGACATTGCTAACTTTTGGTTGACATATTTACCGGTGTCTTGGCCGCTCAGTGCTCCTACTCAACCCTTAACTATAATCATTCCACTTATTGTTACTATGTGCGGCTTGGTTTTGACCCCTTATTTCTTGAGGAATAAAGCTATAATAGACGGTATGGTATTTTAGTCATTCGAGCTCAATGCTCGAATGCTTACATTTGTTCTAACCAAAGTTGCTATGAATACTATGAATATTGATTTATTTTTATTTATTTTTATTTATTTTATTTTATTTTACAAAAATAGAAGAACCGTTAATCATTCAGAAGAATACGGACTATGTAATAATCCGAAATAAAAGATATCGAATTGTTTATATTCCTCACCAACTTGGATCTATAGTTCCTTTAGTAGTACTTATACATGGAATCGGTGGTCAGGTTAGAATTTATAATATTTTTTCAAATATTTTTATTTTAACTTTTTTTTATCTTTCAGTTATAAAAACAAAAAAAAAGTTTTTTTTTGTAATAATAATAATAATAATAATAATATTTGTTATATAATAAATGACGGGTTTGGGTCGAATAAAGGTTGCACAGTGGGAATATCAATTAGAATATTTTTCTTCCACTGCAAATGTATTGGCTATTGATTTGTTAGGATGTGGAAAAAGTGATATTTCAAAAAGGTAAATTACAAGTAAAAATTAGTAGTGTGTTGGTTCTAATAATGGTTAATAGATGATAATCATATATATATGTATATATATATATATAAAGATCAGATGATTACAAAACAGAATCTTTGGTCGATGATCTGGAAGAACTTTTGAAACTTTATCCTAGTGAAACTATGGTATTCGTTTGTCATTCATATGGTTGTTGCCTAGGTACATTCTTATATCAACGATTCAAAACTACTGTTAAAGCCATGACATTCATTTCGGTTAAAGCCGATATAAGTGAAAAAGAATTATTACAACGAAAAAAAATTCAATCCTGCCCTGATATATTTTTTGATGCTTTCCGAGTTTTATTTGATCGTCGTGGTGGAGTCAATTCTCATAGTGTAAATCGTATGTTACATAAAGATGCGAATGTTGGATTACGAACAAAACAATTAAAATGGAATAAACAATCAAAAACTTTTGTGTGGAAACGTATGCTTGGTGGTTTTAAATGGATAAGTCGTGATGATATTCGCGGAATTCAATGTCCGTTGTTGCTCATAGCAGGTCAAGAGGTAAGTTTAAAGTAATAAATATATAAGTATGATATAAATGATATTATAAATGATATTTATTGAATAATTTATTCATTTGCTTATTTTGTTTATTTTGTTTATTTTAGGACCGAATTAGCCCTCAGTGTGATCTGATCCTTGTTCATGAGTGGTGCACTTCGCCAAATACACCTGATCCAGTGGTGATTCCGCAAGCGGGACATAATCCAATGGTGGAGAAACCTGACCTCGTCAACTTGATCATCAATGATTTTTTGATAAGAGCATGTGGATTGAATACAGTTGATCCTGGGTGGCAAATTGCACATAAAACGAAAGATGAGAATAAATGGTCTATGAAGAATTATCAAAAGGTGTGCAGCTGAAAAATAAATTCATGCTGTCAGCTGCGTCGGGTTCATATATTTTTCCGATAATGGAAATTGGGTTCGACGCGTGAATTTTTTTCAGATTTGTTTATTTTTTTTCAGTCATCAAATCTTGTTTTATATAATTTAAGATCGTGACCAAAAATACTCTCGTCGCTCTCATGTGGCATTTAATTATAGTGGAAACAAACTCCAACGATAGCCGACCGAACTGTCAATCGTACATTATTTAGACCAATGAAGGTTTGTTTTTTTTTTTTTATTATAATTATATATATATTTTAGTGTATGTAATTATATATATATATATTAGTGTATGTAATTATATATATATATATATTAGTGTATGTAATTATATATATATAAATATATTAGTGTATGTAATTATTCTGATTGACTCTCGTCTTATTTCTTAAGGTTATGCGGCAAGGTGACGAAGAACATTCTCCAGAAATATTTATGGCGCGGCATCCAGAGATAGGATTGTAGGTCAAATTTCCTTATATGTATTTTGTAACGTTGGCCTTGTAAGATAACCAGTTTACCTTATATTTTATTTATATTATTATTTATTTACATTTATTATGTAGTATCATTGATATAACCAAAGATCCACCATCTTATAGAACACAAAGCTTTGATAATTCACATATTAAATATAACAAACTTAGCACAGTAAGTAAAATTCCACCATCGCGAGAAGAAGTACGGATGTTTATTCAAATTGCCAAAGATGCGTGGAGCAAAAAGCCTGATAAACAAATCGCTGTTCATTGTCATTATGGGTGAGCTTAACTCTTAATTATTTCATGAAATCATGTCTGTTATATATGTATTTACCCCCGTTCATTCTTATTAGTGCAGTACTTTTTATTATTATTATTATTATTATTATTTTTATTTATTTTATTTTTGCCTTTCGGTTTTAGATTTAATCGGACAGGGTTCATGATCTGTTGTTATATGATCGAAGAATTGCACATCTCTGTGTCTGATGCGATTCGCTATTTTGAAGAGGCAAGACAGCCGAGAGGCATCAAGTAAGTGGCACCCCTTCTGTTTTATAGTATTATATTTTCTAAAATACTTATTACTACGTTATACTGCGTTATAGACATCGTCATTTCAGGGAGGAACTATATTTACGATATGAACCACTTCCTAGAATTAATTCAAATGATTCATTGATTTAGCTTATCTACAAAATTTGGTTTTTTGACTATTTATCGAATCTGCGATTTTGGAATTTTATAAATGCAGTAATAATTGTAATTTCCTCTTAATTTCTATTTCATATTTTTCATTTTAATTCATTTTTTCATGTCATTATTTTTTTTATACGTTAATTATGTGTAAAATTTATATTTTTTTTTTAGAATTTCTAATGTCATATATTTCGTTTGTAGAAAATTTATATATATATATATTTGTATATTTGTATTGCTAATAACTCTTAAGTAAAATCTTAATATATTACAGTCATTGCTTACTAAATATGGGCATCCTTTATAGAAAGCGGAGTAAAACTTATAATTTAAAGTTAATTTAAATTTTATTTTATTTTATTGAATTACAGTCACTTTAAGAGTACGTACGATTTGGCATACTATTTATTAAGTTCACGAAAATTGATGATCAAGCGGTCTTCGTTGCTGAACATTCATTATCTTCATTATCTTCCAGATATTTTCACAAATTGCGTATATTACGTATACATTTGCATAAATTAAGTTTTTTCGTGTAACCATGATAAACTCTTGGAGGATACTGTACTCATTCTCAAGAAATTTTATTCATTCTTGTAATTTAAGGTTAGGTGTACCGTGATACGTAGAGCAAACGTGTTGCATTAAGATGCGTTCATAATGAGACATTCGTAGGATTGGCTGATGTAAATCAATTGCCCGGGTAACTTATTTATACAGGTTAACGTACGTACTTTTTAGGAAGGTAACGTTTCACTACGTAAAAAAAATCATTGTACGTAAAACCATAAAGAACATCTATATTCGCGCGAGTAACACAAACCGAAAAAGGAAATCGAATTTTGTAAATAAACTAAGTGCGAAAAGATATATTAGAGGCTATAACAATAGATTGTTATTTATTGTATGTAAAATTTCGTTTCCGACATTTTTAATTAATGTACTAAGGTCGATTTAAACACTAGTTCTTGAGTATTTCGCTTTTTTATTCTTTCGCACGTGTTCGGAATTCAATGTTGAGCTGATCCGGGACAGTCAAATTTTGTGTACTCTGATTGGCCATTTCCTTTTTAGGGGTTTGTATTACTCGCGCGTGCTATATTCGCTGTGCAAAATAATCAGTAACCCAAAGAACTTCACTTATAGGCGAATATTTTTACGTTTATTGCTAGTACTAGTCATGCTAACCATATGCAAGTTCTAAATGCTGGAAACGATCAACAAAAAAAAGAAGATTGAGACGTTAAGTGTAAGTTTTAAAAGAATTTTATGTATACTATTTGACATGTTATAATGTATACAATATTGGGCAAAATTTGTACGTTGTACTTTGGCAAATGAACACGTGCCGCGAAGCGGCGCGTGCACCAATCATTTGCCAAATTATCGTATTCGACAAGTTGCCCAATATTGGTGTTATCCGATCATGATTGGTAGGGAGTCATAGACTGTTTTAATTTGAATAACCATGATTACATCGTAACACGTGAAAAAAATAAAAAGTTCATGATAAGAGTTTGCCGGATAATAAAAGATACATAGCGCTCGATAGGCTCTAACGGTTCTATAATTTTTACGGTTCTATAATTTTGGATAAAATTTTGCAAAGGTCTCTACAAATAATGCTATAGAGCTATTTCTTTATTTAAGCACGAAAAAAAATTTTGATACACTGCCTTTTTTTTTTTAAAGAAAAGACAAAAAGTTAGAACTTAATTTGGTTTCTTTTTTTAAAGAAATGGCTCTATAGTTTCGTTTGTAGAGACGTAACACTTGCCTTTGCGAAAACTAGGGATGTGAAAAGCCCCGACTCGACTCCAGAAGTCGAGTTTTATTTTGTGACACATTTATTTTAATAAACGTGAAACAGTAAAAAAAAAATCAAATTACTTACTCTCTTGGGTTTCTCCGTGTAGTCTTGATCCGATGAATGATC